TTGCATTTCCCTAATGACTAATGATGTAGAACATCTTTTCAAGTTCTTATTGGCCATTTGTATATTTTCTTTGCAGAAATTTCAGCTCAGTTTCTTTACCCGTTTCTAAATTGGGTTATTTATCTTTTTATTACTAAGTTTTAAGGGTTCTTTATATATTCTGGATCCAAGTCCTTTATCAGATATATGAGTTGCAAAAATTTTTTCCCATTCTGTGTGTTGTTTTTTCACTTAATGGTGTCCTTTGAAGCGCAAAAGTTTTTCATTTTATAGAGTCCAATTTATTTAATTTTTCTTTTGTTGCTTGTGCTTTTAGTGTCATATCTAAGAAACCATTTCCTAATCCAAGATCATGAAAATATACTCCTATGTTTTCTTCTAAGAGTTTTAGAGTGTTAGCTCTTACATTTAGGCCTGTGACCCACTTTGGGTTAATTTTTGTATGTGGTGTGACATAGGGGGTCCAACTTCATTATTTTACATGTGGATAACCAGTTGTTCCAGCACTATTTGTTAAAAAGACTTATTCTTTCCCCTATTGAATTATCTTTGTACCCTTGTCAAAAATCAACTGACTAGTAAAAAGACCAGACTTAATGGTCTGACTGAGACTGGAGGATCACCAGAAAGCATGGCCCCCAGACTCTTTGTCAACCCAGAACTAAAACAATTCCTGAGGCCAACTCTTCAGACAAAGATTGGACTGGACTGTGGGACATAAAATGATACTTGTGAAGAGTGTGCTTCTTAGCTCAAGTAGATACATGAGACTAAATGGGCAGCTTCTGTCTGGAGGTGAGATGAAAAGGCAGAGAGGGTTAGGAGCTGGTTGAATGGACATGGGAAATCAGGGGTGGAAAGGAGGAGTGTGCTGTCATAGTATAGGGAGAGCAATTAGGGTCACATAACAATGTATGTATAAATTTTTGTATGAGAAACTGACTTGAAATGTAAACTTTCACTTAAACTACAACAATAAACAAAAAAGAAAAAAAAATCAACTGACTATAAATGTGAGAGTTTATTTCTAGACTCTCAATTCTATTCCATTCATCTATATGTCTGTCCTTATGTCAGTACCACGCTGTCTTGATTACTGTAACTTTGTAGGATGTCATCTGCAAATAGAGAGTTTTACTTGTTCCTTTCCTATCTGGACGCCTTTTATTTCTTTTTCTTGCCTAATTGCCCAGACTAGACCATCCAGTATAATGTTGAATAGAAGGGGCAAGAGTGGATGTCTTTGTCTTATTCCTGAACGGAGGGGGAAAGCGTCAAATCTTGTATTACCATTGAGTATGATGTTGGCTATGCATTGTGTTATTACTTTTATAATAAGAGAAGTATTTTTCAGAATAAAGTTTATAAAACTCTTAATTCCATGATTATTTTTGTAGAATGGCTTCCTTAGCAAAAATAAAATTTGCATCATTGCTGTAGATAAAGTTAAAAAAAAAAATCTTCCCTTCTGTAAGGATATGGGTTCAGTTTAGATTCAGGATAGGTCCATGTGACATTTGCCTAATGTCTTTATTCTAATGGCTTTTGTTCAGTGAGTATCTGTTGAGTGTCTGCTATGTGCCAGAATCATACTAATCGTTGAAGATGCAGCAAGGAGCAAGGCAGCCGAGGTTTCTGCTCTTAGGGCATCTACATTTTGATAGATGTGCACATAGGAATTGTGGGACCCACATTTTGAGGCAGATTAGATCAGTATTGCCATTTGTTGATTGACTAGAATTTTATATTTGTTACTTGTTGGTCAGTACATTATAAAATACGCAATAGCTTACCTATGTAAGGCTTAGGAATATATTATAATCACAGCTATTTTTGTTATTCAGAGAAAGAGCTGGTCAGTAGCTGGTCATGTTTGTTGGTCAGAACCCATACCAACTCCTGTGCCAAGCATTCTTTGATAATTTTACAGTTTAGTAGGGAAGATGATATGTAGAGAAGAAAAAAGTGAGCCAACATTTATTTTGCACTGACTGTCAGGC